TCTCTGAAAGTCCTTTAGAATGACCTGGGAAGTTAAATAAGAAAGCCAGACTAGTTACATTCTGTTTTCTCTTTTATGGTTTCACATTTCTGAGGAAAATTCAGGGTTACACAATATGAACTTTATGAGCAGGGGTGGGGAAACATTATGAGCTGGAATGAACAGAAAGCCTGCGTGAAGAATGACACAATCTATCCAGACAAGACATGACATTTGCAAGTACTTATTCCATGCTGGGCACTATTCTAAGAAATTTTAAATCCTTGAAACCATCCTATTATGTCAACAATAAAATTATTCCCATTTTACAATGAGGAAACAGAGGTCCAGAGAGGTGAATATCACAGACCAGGTGAAGCCAGAAACTGAACCCTGGCAACGTGGCCCCACTAAGAGGCCACTTTAATGATCACTATGTGATACCGGGCAGGCTTTGGAGTCGGAATGGTATGAATCCCAACTCAAATGGCTAATGAGTACTTGATTACCAACCCACTAATGGTCTGAGAGAAATTCAAACCAAAAACAATATTTTACTTAATACCTACCAACAATTTGAAAGTGGAACAATGCCAAGTGTGGGTGGGGACTTAGAGACAGAAACTCTCCAGTAACTCCGAGTGCGAGTGTAGACCAGTGCAGCTGTTCCAGAAGTGATTTGGCAGGTCTAAGTCTTACGTAGGAGTGAAGCCTCTGCCCTAGGAATGTCACACCTGGGTATTCATCCCAGAGAAATTCTCATTGGTCCATAGGGGAGCATCTGGAAGGATCTCCTCACAGCATTGTTTATAGAAAAGGGAGCGGAAGACAACCCAACTGTCCATCGCCAGGGGAACAGGTAAGTCAAACGGAGACACACACGAGGGAGGGCCAGGCAGATGTTTGCAACAGTGAACCCTATGTGCTCGCTTCACCATGGTTAAATGAGTGGGACAACTAGGAGACACAGAAGGAGGTCCATAGCCCAACCTAGGTAAATTGTGCCTTTTGTGTAAATTCTAAATGAATACACACAGAGGATAACACTACATTTTCCAAGAATACATATAAAGTCAAAGATACTTATTGAGCGCTCTTGAGCTGTTGTGGGGGGTGAGACTGAAGGATGGTGGCAACAGAAAATAACAGGCATTCAGACAGAAAAATGCACAAGGGAGGCGTCTGGCAAAACACAGGTGGAAAAAGGATCTATGCTTACTCAGCCGTAAAAAAGGATGAGGTCATGCCATTCGCAACAACATGGGTGGAACTAGAGGGTATTATGCGAAGTGACGTAAGTCAGACTGAGAAAGACAAATACCATATGATTCCACTCATCAATGGAATCTTAATAAGATGAATAGACAAACGACAAACAGAATCAGACCTCTAAATATAGAGAACAGACTGATGGGCACGGTCCATGTCACGAAAGGAGTCTACAGAGGAGGTCAGTGTGCTAGAATGAAAAGCGCATGGTCTTTGGAGCCAGACAGACCCAGCTGTTTACTGCGTGGCCTCGAGAATCACTTCATTCTTTAAGCTTCTGCTTTAAGTAACGTGGTCAAGGGCAGGCATCACTGAGAGGGGGACATTTGAGCAGTCTTGATGGAGGTGAGGGAGAAAGCAGGAAAGATAGATATCTGGGGAGAAAAGTAATGCAGGCAGAGGGAAGAGTCAGTTTTATCCCTAGGTGATGTAAAGTTCCCCTCACAGGGCCTGGTGCACAGTAAGTGGTCAGCAGCTTCTGAGTGTTCACCCCTTTCCCTCCTCTTACAGAGACGGCAGGATCCAAGTGACCGCTGAATGCACCTTCTAGCTTTAGCGACAATGACACTCTGGTTTCAGAAGTTCTTTGCAACACTGCATTCATGTGCAACATCCACTGGCAGGAGAGCCCCTCACTGACCCCAGGAGTCTCAGCCCAAAAAAAAAATCCTTGCTTCCGGGGCTTCAGCCTGCATGGGGAGCACAAAAGCCTTCAAGGAGGAAATTAGAAACAGCAAGGTGCGGCCCTCACCAGCTGCTCTTGCCCTCAAGAGACCTCTAACCCAGCACACACCAAAGCCAGGACAGTGCTTACAGGGACTTGGGCAAGGGTACAGTCACATGGAGGGGAGGAAAGGAGGACAGGGACCCATATTTACTAAGGCAGGTCTGGGTTTGAAGATTATTCCACCACTTACTAGCTCTTATAAATCACTGGACCCCCCTGAGCCTCAATTTTCCCATCTGCAAAATGAGTATGAAGATATCAATTTTGTACAGAGGTTATAAGGACTCATTGAGATAAGACTTATGAAAGTGGCAAGCAAATATCTGGGCTCAACAAAAAGGAGGTCCCTTTCCTTTTATACCAAGTATCTAGGGGGCAGCCACTGTCTTATTCAGTCAGTCTTTATTTTATTCATTTCTAGGGGGATAAAATCAGCTACCTTTCAGTGGGGACTGTGAGGTTTCATTAAGACAACAGATAAAAACTGTGCTTAGCATAGTTATTGGACCAAAATAGGTACTCCATTATGTGTTTTTTTGGATAGCTGGATGAATGGATGGATGGATGGATGGATGGGTGACTGGGTAGGTAGGAGGATGACTTGCTGGCAGGTTGTCAAGGGAAGCAAGATTTGTATTTCAGCAAAACTAAGTCTGCACGAAAACCAGGTGTTTTACAAGAGGGTTTTGTTCTATCTGTTTGTAGCCTTAGGTCTCAAGGACAAATATAATATAGATGAGTAAAAACAAGCATAAATATGCTCAGTTCTCGTCAACTGTGCCCTACACTTACCACTCTTGTGTCTGTGACTCATCTTGCTTCAGTCAACATTCTCCAACTGAGATCACTGGTGTGAGGCTGAGGTCAGGGCAGGACGAGGCCTTCTTGACACACAAGATGGCTTGGAAATCCTGATTGGTGGTGTTTCATCAAAAGAATTACAACTCAGGGGCGCCTGGGTGGCTCAGTCAGTTAAGCGTCCAGACTCTTGGTTTTGACTCAGGTCATGATCTCAGGGTCTTGGAATCAAGCCCCAAGTGGGGCTCCATGCTCAGCCTGGAGTCTGCTAGAGATTCTCTCCCTCTGCCTCTGCTCCTCCCCCAGCCCATGCGTGTGCTCTCAAAATAAATAAATAAATAAATAAATAAATAAATAAATAAATAAATAATATAATATAAAATAAAATAAATAAATAAAATATTTTAAAAAATAGTTACATTTTATGTTTATGTTCATCTCTTATGTGTGGCAGGTGCCACTGGTTTTCATTATAATTTAGTTATAAAGCATCCTTTTAAATAAAGTTTTATTTTTTTTCTTTTCAACTTTTTATTTAAATTCTAGTTAGTTAACATACAGTGCAATATGGTTTCTGGAATAGATTTCCATGATTCATCACTTACATACAACACCGGTGCTCATCATAACATGTGCCCCCCTTAATATCCAATCACCAGTCTAGCCCACCCTCCATCCCCCCATCAACCCTCAGTTTGTTCTCTACCATTAAGAGTCTTTTATGATTTGTTTCCCACTCTTTTTTTCTTTTCCTTTCCCATATGTTCATTTGTTTTGTTTCTTAAATTCCACATATGAGTGAAATTATATGGTATTTGTCTTTCTCTGACTTATTTCACTTAGCACAATACCCTCTAGCTCCATCCGCAATGTTGCAAATGGCAAGATTTCGTTCTTTTTGATGGCTGAGTAATATTCCATTGTATATATATACACCACATCTTCTTTATCCATTCACCAGTTGATGGACATTTGGGTAAAGAGATAAAAAGTGACTCAATTTAGAGCAAAATATTTATTAAGTAAACATACAGATGGCACATGGGTATTGAAAAATTGTGTATGGGGGTGTACACAAATGACTGAACTGCAAGAAACACTGTGCTTTAGCATCTAAGCATTCATCTTATTCAGAGACAAGATGCAAGTCATAGAGAGTCATTCAAATAGGCTTAGGCAAAATAAGAGAATGCATCCTGACAGAACCCAAAGGAAGGAATGCAGATGTTGGGCTTTGAGAGGGCCCGGCCTGGAGGAAGAGGGCAGCAGGCCCCGGAAGCACCTGCCCTCCTCTCTCCAGACTTATGGTCTCCCTCTGGTCTCTGCTTTGCTCTACACATTTCCATCTTCTCTCTGAGCAGGTCACCCACTCTCCCCTGCCCCACCTCATACACATAGAGGGGCACACACATGCAGACACACACACACACACACACAGTCACAACTCTAGACTTGTATGTCTTCAGGTTAGTGACCTGCAGAGCCTGAAATAGCACCCCTGAATCTGGCTTCTTATTCCTGAGAGAGAGAACCTGACTGGCCCACCTAGAGCTACATGCCCGCATCTCATCCGTTCAGCTCTTATCAGAGGATCAAGGGGAATGCATTCTCAGAAAAAGGGAGAATCTGGGATGAGCAATCACCCTGACCAAGAGGTATCTGCCTCAGCATTCGCCACTCCTAACAACCCTATAAGGTAGGAAATTCAGCTCACAGTCCCTTGGTAGGAAGTGACAAAGCCAAGACTTGAACCTGGGTCTGTCTGACACCAAAGCTCAGAGTCTGCTGCACTCTCCACCTAGTCACCATCAGCTGAGTTCAGTCCACAGCTACCATTCCAGACCTAAGCAGGTTACTGGCCCATGGGGAAGCATTTATCAAAATCAGCCCAGTAGACAGGAAACAAGAATCTCACTCTACGGGGATTGTGGCTGGAAGGGAGGAAGATGTCTCAGAAGGACCACGGGGCTCCAGGGTGGTCTCCTCCAAGCCCCTGGGTCTGTGGCTGCCAGATTCACACCGCAGGTGCTCAGGGTGTGAGGAAGCTCATCTGAATATATTTGCCGAAAATCACAAGGAGGCATCTAGAGATCTTCAAGAGAAGCTGACACCTCTCTTCTGCACCCAAAATTCAAAGTGCCTCCTGGCCCTTGGGATTATAACTGCTCCTCTCACCTTCTGGAAGCTAAATTTGGAGGGCTCCCCCCCGCCCCCCCCACCTCCCTGCCCCAGAAAGCTAGGTGGTAGATGAGACCTGACAGGCTCCTCCCACTCTGGAGGCCTCACCCACACACAGGTACTTCTCCACCTAAGTGCCCTTTCTCATGAAACCTCTGAGCATCGTGGTGCCGCAGATGCCCCCAATTTGGCTTTGAGGGGCCCCTGCCCACCCACAGTAAGGGAGCTGCCCAGCGGGAGGTAATTCACCAGGATCCACTGCTGAGACAGACGGATGTGGCAGTTGTGTCTCTCCCAGTCCCCCAGAGCTGACCCAAGTCCTATGCAGAGAGATACATTTGCCTCAGGAGACAACCTCCCCATCCCAGCCTTTGACCTGAACATGTCTTACCCTCTCTGGCACCATTCAGGACAGGTTGTTGGATGAGTGGGAAAAGGCTCCACTGAGCCACGTCCCCTAAGAAGTGTCACAAAGATCCTGTGCCTCTAAATGGAGACAAGATGGCACTATCCTAGCTCAAAAGTCTCCCCCAGAGACACCATCACACAACCAGGGGAGGATCTCTTTCCCAAAACCCTCTTCTCTGCCTTTATAAAAGTAGCAAAGGTAGTTGTTGCCCAAAACTTCAGGCCATACTGGCTCAGGGCAGCTGCCTTGGTAGGGTGAACAGGGTGGCTCGGAGTCTATCCCCAAGGTCTGCCCCGGGCCCTGACATTCCCTGCAGAGCTATCAGACTCAGGTATTCAGGATGAGGTTGCCAGCCAAGGTTATTATGCATGTGCCCCGAGGTGGCCGACGAAGCGCGTTCAAGTCCTGGACTTCCCAGCAGTCTGGCCTGGCCATCACCCCCACCTTGGTGAAGTAGCCTCCATACTTAAAGAGCCACTTGTGCCCAGGGAGGAGATGCCCAGACCACAGCAGAGACCCCTTCATCCCCCAGGTCAGTCTGTGATGTCCATGGAGGAGAAGCTTCCGGGCCTGGCCCCAACCATCAGGGACTACTTTTTGAGGGAATGGACAGGGAGGTGGTTGAGCGGCATGACCACTTCAGTGCCAGTCTCCAAGGTGGCCCGGGAGCATTTCTGGCTGCTGCGCATGCTATAGAACTTCTCAACGAGGTGCTTGCGAAACTTCTTGGTGAGGAAACAGTAGATGATGGGGTCTAAAACACAGTTGGTGCTAAGAAGGCAGAGAGTGACCTGATGGGCATCGTTGATGGCTTGGTGGAAGCTGCTGTTCTGGAAGCCCAGCTCAACCAGGGTCCAGGGCAGCTGCACGATGTGGTGGGGCACAAAGCATATGATGAACACGGCCAAGACCGTGCAGACCATCCACAGCGCGCGGCGCTTGACTTCTGCATTGTGCTGCGGCTGCACTGGCTGCAAGAGCAGCCTGCGGATGATGACCAGGTTGCAGAAGAAGATGATGAGAAATACAAGGAAGAAGCTGAACACGAGGAAGACGTGGATGATGAGGACGGGCACACTGCCCTTCTCGTAATGCTCAAAGCAACGTGTGATGTTGCCCGAGCCGGTCTTGTTGGGCTCCACGTTGGTGGAGTCCAGGATGAAGAAGTAGGATGCTGCAGCCACAATGGCCACCCAGATGACCAGGGACACAGAGAAACCACGCTTGCGGGTGGTGTCCTGAGCTGTCTTGATGGGCTGGGTCACTGCCTGGAAACGGTTGTAAGTGATGACAGCCAGGAAGGCCACTGAGCAGTAGGTGTTGATGAAGAAGAAGCAGCCAGCCAGGTTGCACAGGAATTTGGGGAGAATCCAGTTGCCCTGGTTGTGGTAGTAGATGATCCACAGGGGCAGGGTGACCAAGAAGAGCAGGTCAGCCACGGTGAGGTTCACCATGAAGATCTTTATCTCGTTGAGTTTCTTGGAAGGGTACAGGCAGGCAAAGACCCATAGCACATAGCTGTTGGCGATGACCCCCAGCACAAAGATGATGCTGTAAACAATCGGGAAGAGGGTATATCGGAACTCAGAGTCCACATGAGAGGAATTATTTGCCCCTGTCGCCATGGCTGGAAGGGGCAGCTGGTGGTAGAATCCTGTTGCGCCTGGAAGACCACACAGGAATTCTGGTTAATGAAAGGTCAAAAAGGGCCTGTCTTATTGAATCAATTCCAAGACTCTCATCTTGCACATTTTAAAAACTCTAAAATGGGCGGTATCTTCCAATTAATTGGCAGTATTTTTTTCTACATAAAATAATGGTGTATTTTTTAAATGAACAGCATCTGAGAGTCAATGAAATCAACGGCAATTCAGTTTCTTTTCTCTTGTTACATTTTAAAACATACCTTTTCATTCTGTGGCTTATTTTGATGTAAGGTTTAAATAATCTATTTCTGATGAGAAAATATATGAAAACTTATATCATAAAATTTTTAATTTTCTAACAACTTTTAAATATTTTTCTATTGATGAAATTTGAAATGTAAATTTTGATGGTGGATGTTCTATATTAAAAAATAATTGGGCACCTGCGTGGCTCAGTTGTTAAGTGTCTGCCTTCGGCTCAGGTCATGATCCCAGGGTCCTGAGATTGAGCCCCGCATCGGGCTCCCTGCTCCGCGGGGAGCCTGCTTCTCCCTGTCCCATCCCCCTGCTTGTTTTCCCTCTCTTGCTGTGTCTCTGTCAAATAAATAAATAAACTCTTTAAAAAAAATAATTGTGGGTGATGCCTGGGTGGCTCAGTTGGTTAAGTGTCTGCCTTCAGCTCGGGTCATGATCCCGGGGTCCTGGGATCGAGTCCCACATCAAGCTCCTTGCTTGGTAGGGAGTCTGCTTCTCCCTCAACCCCTCCACCTGCTTGTGCACTCGCTCTCTCTCTCTCTCTCT